ACCTTGTAGTAGAATATTACCACCAGATCTCCGGTCACTCTGGAAGAGAGTACGTTATCAGTCTTGCGCGCGAGAAGTTTTGGATCGTAAACGCAAGTTCTGTTGTCAGGAAAGTTCTTTCGAAATGTTTCAGTTGCCGGCGGCGTCAAGGCCCGTTCTGTGAGCAGAAAATGGCTGACCTTCCCGTGGATCGTGTTACCCCAGGTCAGCCACCTTTTACATCTGTCGGCATTGATTGTTTTGGTCCTCTTCAGGTACGCCGTGGGCGAAGTCTTGTGAAAAGATATGGGGTCATTTTCACGTGTCTTTCTATCCGCGCGGTTCACATTGAAGTGGCGCACAGTTTGGAAACTGATTCTTTCCTGATGGCGCTCAGAAGGTTTATAGCAAGAAGGGGCCAGGTAAAGGAGATCAGATCCGATAATGGTACCAATTTCACCGGCGGAGAGAGGGAGCTCAGGGAATCCATCAACGCGTGGAATCACAACAAGATTCACGAAGCTCTACTTCAGAAGGGTATCAAGTGGAACTTCAACCCCCCCTATGGCTCCCATTATGGAGGTGTTTGGGAGCGCTGCATTCGAACAACGCGCAAGGTCCTTCGAGCTTTGCTTCAAACTCAAACTGTTGACGACGAAGGTTTAGTCACCCTCCTATGCGAAGTGGAAAGCATTATTAATGGTCGTCCAATCACCACAGTTTCAGGTGACCCCAATGATCCGGAGCCCCTTACACCAAACCATTTGCTTCTTTTACGCTCGGAGCCTCAGATGCCCCCTGGGTTATTCCAAAAGGAAGACTCCTTCTCTCGACGCAGATGGAGACAAGTGCAATATCTCGCAGATATCTTTTGGAAGAGATGGTCTAAGGAGTACTTGCCTCTGCTCCAAAGTAGGCAGAAATGGACGACGATTCGCAAGAACCTGGCCGTTGGGGATATTGTTCTAGTGAGCGCCGAAAATTCCCCTCGCAATTCATGGCCCCTTGGTAGAGTGGTAGAAGTCTTCGCCGACAAGAAAGGTTTGGTGCGCCGTACCAGAGTGAAAGTAAAAGGAGCAGTTTTGGAGAGGCCAATTGACAAACTTTGCTTGCTGATAGAAGCTTGAACTTTCCCTTTGGAGTTATTTTCTGTGCAATTTTCTGAATTCAGGAGAAGAGAACATTAAGAACTCTTAGAAAGACACTTAGATCTTTAATTGTTTCATTTAAGTGCCTCGCGTGTGCTCCCCACTTATGGGGCCGGTATGTAAGATCCAAGTGTAACATTTTTTCTATTATTCGTTCTTGCGTAATTTGTTTTTCCTTTGCGTACGCAAATTAGTTTATACTTCTTTTCGTCCTTTTGTTTAGTCTTTTTTTTGGCGTTAATTTAGGTGTTTATTCCTTTCTGTCAGTTTTCGCGCCCTCGTTAGCCTTTCTTTGCTGTTTCATCTTCATTAGCGCCTTTCTAAGTTTCTATAGTTTTATTTTCCGCATGTTCTAGCGTATTTTTCATATCGTAGTTTTGCAGTACAGTTTGTGCAGCTCATTTTGGTCCGCGCTTAGCGCAGTTCTGTTTAGTTTCTTGCAAGTCTCTTCGCGTTATTCGCAGTCCGCTTTACAGCAGTTTTCTCTGGCCGAAACAATGTAAGTGTACTTCACAGTCCTCGTTTTGCAGCTTTGTTATTTCCTTACTCTAATTTACCTTAGTCGCAACTTGTAACTTTTTTGCTTTTTTACCGTTTTAGTTTCAACCCACGCTGTTTGTATGCACACTCTTAGTACCAAGCACGTCGGCTACAATAAATCTTCATTCGAATTTGGTTTGTGGTGTTGTTATTAAAGGCCAAGAGACTTACACGCTTATTGCAGTTTCAGTTGGTATAGTATATGTAGTTAATGTAGTATGTGTAGTTGGTGTAGTATATGTAGTTGGTGTAGTCAGTGTAGTCAGTGTAGTTGACAAACTACACCTGCAACTACACCAAACTACACCAACTACTTAAAACTACACCAAACTTCGCCAATTACACAAAACTACACCAAACTATACCAACTACGCCAAACTACACCAACTACACACAACTACACCGAACTACAAAAACTACACTAAACTACACCAACCTACACCAAACTACACCTACTACACCACACCACACCAAACTACACCAACTACACAAAACTACACCAAACTACACCAGCTACACAAAACTACAACAATTACACAAAACTACACCAAACTACACAAACTACACACAACTACACCAAACTGCAAAAACTGCACAAAACTACACGAACCTACACCAAACTACACCACACTACACCAAACTACACTAACGACAACAACTACTCCAACCACACTAACTGCACATACTACAGCAACTACAGTAACTACAGCAACTACAACAACTACAACAACTACATTAACTACACTAACTACAGCAACTAGTCATACTACACCAACTACAGGAAGTACACCAGCTACATATACTACACCAACTACACCAACTACATATACTACACCAACTAGAGTAACTACACCAACTACACTAACTACACCAACTACACATACTACAGGAACTACAGCAACTACGGCTACTACACCAACTACAGCAACCACACTAACTACACCAACTACACTAACTACACATACTACACAAACTACACATACTACACATACTACACCAACTACAGCAACTACAGCAACTACACTAACTACACCAACTACACCAACTACACATACTACACCAATATATATTCTACACCAAGTACAGCGACTACACCAACTACAGTAAGTACACCAACTACAGTAACTACACCAACTACAGTAACTACATCAACTATACTAGCTACACCAACTACACATACTAAACCAACTACACTAACTACACCAACTACAGTAACTACGCCAACTACAGTAACTACGCCAACTACATATACTACACCATTTATACTAACCACACATACTACACCAACTACAGCAACTACAGCAACTACAGCAACTACACTAACTACACATACTACACCAACTACAGGAACTACACCAACTGCATAAACTACACCAACTACACTAACTACATCAACTACACAAACTACACCAACTACACATACTACACCAACTACAACAACTACACCAACTTCACATACCACACCAACTACATATACTACGCCAAGTACACTAACTACACCAGCTACATATACTACACCAACTACACTAACTACACCAACTACACATACTACAGCAACTACAGCAACTACACCAACTACATGTACTACACGAACTACAGCAACTACAGCAACTACATATACTACACCAACTACACATACTATAAAATTCGAATTTACGTCCGCAATTCCTGAATTCAGAGTGATTCTTTCCCGCATTTGCGCGCAAACGAAAACGAAATAATTAATATAGGCTTACAGTTATTTGGCAGGCATCAATCTACTTCCCCTATGCCGCACCAATCAGAGCTCCGTTTGCCAGCGTACGGAGTTTCCCAAAAGAACAATGATATCGGGCAGGCGTATTTCGTTTCTCCTCTCCCCCTCCTCCCTTTCCTTTTTTCGCTCTCGCACCTACCCTAAGCGGTTACCATTTCTACTCTCCCCAATCTTCCTCTGTCCCAAAATCAAATATGGTGGCTACAACATTACGAACTTGAACAAGCTTTCGCCCACCCAAAATACGCCTGCACTGCAGGCTATTTATATTTAAAATAAAAAGCTACATTTTCATAAGATAAAATGTTTCGTATCTATTTCTAAACGGCCAAGGGCTAATTATCATAGCCCGTGAACAAGTTCTGTTTTTGGGGAAAGAGTGAAAAAATCGAGGCTTTAGACGTTGTTGAGCTTGGAAGAGCCAAAGCTCTAGCAGACCTAGTGTCAGATCGATATTTTGTGGAGAAAGAGGTATCCCCCAACCCAGAATCGTTTGCTGGCATCTTGAAGGTCATCAGAGATAGTGGTACCAGAACGTGCCTATACATTTCCTACTGTGGTGAAGATATCTTTCTTTGGACTGCAAAACAAAGCAAGCCGATAACTTTCCGAAAAACGAAACTTTCTGAAAGCTATGTTAGCAAGCCCGGAGAAATGTCTGTGGATGACCTTTTCAAAAAGGAAAGCTTATTAACAAAATTTCACATTTTACCTAGCCTGTGAACAGGCTCTCTGTTTGGGGAAAGGGTGAAAAAATCGCAAAGTGAGGGAAGGGAAGGGGTGAGAACCTGTAGACAAACACCTGAGGCCGTCGTTCCACGGCACTCGCTGAGCATCAGATCCTTATGCAAGCTCCTATTGGCGAGAACACTGACGGTTGACAGGTTTGATTTACATCGCCTTTTTAGTCGGCACGTAGCACGTGATTTAATTTAAATAATCGGTTGTAAACGGGTCTTCTGATCTTTAACATGGCCTCTTCTGGCGCTTGACTGATGAGCTTTTTGACCGGCAATAGATGTTCTTGTATCAGAGGGCAAATCACGCTGACCAGAAACAATAGCCGCAGAAAATCAATATGCGTGTCACGAACTCTCAGTATGAAATAAGCGGCAAACATCGCATTTTCTCAATTAACTCTAAACCCTCCAGAGCATAATCTACCCGCCAGAGAAAAAAACTCATTGGAAAAGCAGTATTTTGGCACGAGACAAAAGTTGTTTGTTGCCTACCGACCCCCTTTTTACACGCTAGAGTGATTACATTCCGCTGTATCCACGTGACAATAACGATCTTGCTGACAGATGATCGGCAATTACAAGACAAGGAGCTAAGGCGGAATAGCGGCCTCAAATGTTTGTCTACAGGCTCTCACCCTTTCCCTTCCCTCTCCTCGCAATTTTTTTCACCCTTTCCCCAAACAGAGACGCTGTTCACAGGCTTAATTATTATAACATTTCGAAATGACTTTCATATTTTTTTCTCAAGCTATAACCTTAATAACTCTACTTCCATATAGCTATTTGCAAATTTTTCTGGTCTTGTTTTTGCCCTTATATGGTTTAGACAAGACCCTCATGGACAAGGTTCTACAAGTGATTTACCCCGGCATGATTGCTGCAGATTTTCTTTTGAACACTAAACGAGTTGTCCAAGCTATCGTGCTGTGGAATGAGCGCTTAACATTCCTAAATAACAAAGCCTTAGAAAAAGAAAATGACCTTGCAAAAGAAGTGAGTATGTTGCTGTACAAGAGGCTGTGCCGTGGGTATGCTGCTATTTACAAACTTTCTCCGGCTATAGAATCTGGCAAAAAACTTTTAGTCCTATTTCGTAAATGTAAGAGAAAAAAGGAAGAGGGTGACACAGCCTTGATGCTAGCAAGACTGTACACGCAAAAAAGTGAAAACAAGAAAGCACAAGAATATCTTCAGAAAGCACTTACCATCAACACAGAAATTGGCGACAAACACGGAGAAGCGTCATGCTACATAAACCTAGGAAACGTGTTTGATTCTGTCGGAGAATATGCCAAGGCTGAAGAATATCTTCAGAAAGCACTTACCATCAACACAGAAATTGGCGACAAACACGTAGAAGCGTCATGCTATGTAAACCTAGGAAACGTGTTTATGTCTGTCGGAGAATATGCCAAGGCTGAAGAATATCTTCAGAAAGCACTTACCATCGAGAGAGAAATTGGCAACAGACACGGAGAAGCGTCATGCTACATAAGCCTAGGAAACGTGTTTCATAATGTCGGAGAATATGCCAAGGCTGAAGAATATCTTCAGAAAGCACTTACCATCAACACAGAAATTTGCGACAAACACGGAGAAGCGTCATGCTACATAAACCTAGGAGACGTGTTTGATTCTGTCGGAGAATATGCCAAGGCTGAAGAATATCTTCAGAAAGCACTTACCATCGAGAGAGAAATTGGCAACAGACACGGAGAAGCGTCATGCTACATAAGCCTAGGAAACGTGTTTCATAATGTCGGAGAATATGCCAAGGCTGAAGAATATCTTCAGAAAGCACTTACCATCAACACAGAAATTTGCGACAAACACGGAGAAGCGTCATGCTACATAAACCTAGGAGACGTGTTTGATTCTGTCGGAGAATATGCCAAGGCTGAAGAATATCTTCAGAAAGCACTTACCATCGAGAGAGAAATTGGCAACAGACACGGAGAAGCGTCATGCTACATAAGCCTAGGAAACGTGTTTCATAATGTCGGAGAATATGCCAAGGCTGAAGAATATCTTCAGAAAGCACTTACCATCAACACAGAAATTTGCGACAAACACGGAGAAGCGTCATGCTACATAAACCTAGGAGACGTGTTTGATTCTGTCGGAGAATATGCCAAGGCTGAAGAATATCTTCAGAAAGCACTTACCATCGAGAGAGAAATTGGCAACAGACACGGAGAAGCGTCATGCTACATAAGCCTAGGAAACGTGTTTCATAATGTCGGAGAATATGCCAAGGCTGAAGAATATCTTCAGAAAGCACTTACCATCAACACAGAAATTTGCGACAAACACGGAGAAGCGTCATGCTACATAAACCTAGGAAACGTGTTTCAGCGTGTCGGAGAATATGCCAAGGCTGAAGAATATCTTCAGAAAGCACTTACCATCAACACAGAAATTTGCGAGAAACACGGAGAAGCGTCATGCTACATAAACCTAGGAAACGTGTTTCAGCGTGTCGGAGAATATGCCAAGGCTGAAGAATATCTTCAGAAAGCACTTACCATCAACACAGAAATTGGCGACAAAGACGGAGAAGCGACATGCTACATAAACCTAGGAGAAGTGTTTGATTCTGTCGGAGAATATGCCAAGGCTGAAGAATATCTTCAGAAAGCACTTACCATCGAGACAGAAATTGGCAACAGACACGGAGAAGCGTCATGCTACATAAACCTTGGAAACGTGTTTCTGTCTGTCGGAGAATATGCCAAGGCTGAAGAATATCTTCAGAAAGCACTTACCATCACGACAGAAATTGGCGACAAAGACGGAGAAGCGAGATGCTACGGAAACCTTGGATCTTTGTGTCTAACTATCGGGGAACATGCCAAGGCTGAAGAATATTTTAGAAAAGCTATTGAAATTAGCAAGGACACTGGAGACATCGAAGTGCAGTTTATGGCTCACCTAAATCTAAGTTATTGTTCTTTAGCATTAACAGGAAACGCATCTGAAGCTTTATCGAATCTCCTTGCTAGCATTGAGAAGTGCGAGAGAATACTTAACTTTCTAGGAAACAATGATCGATATAAGATATTATTTTTTGATCAGCACGCGTCCCCCTATCGACTGTTTAGTTTACTGTGTTCTTCTTCTGGAAAACACTATGAGGCTTTACACGTTGTTGAGCTTGGAAGAGCCAGAGCTCTAGCAGACCTAGTATCAGACCGATATTTTGTGGAGAAAGAAGTATCTCTAAATCCAGAATCGTTTGCTGGCATCTTGAAGGTCATCAGAGATAGTAGTAACAGAACGTGCCTATACATTTCCTACCATGGTGAAGATATATTTCTTTGGACTGTAAAACAAAGCAAGCCGATAGCTTTCCGAAAAACAAATCTTTCTGAAAGCTATGTTAGCAAGCACGGAGAACTGTCTGTGGATGACCTTTTTAAAAGGGAGAGCTTATTAAGAAATTTTCACGTTTTACCGCAAGAGCAATGCGAAGACCGATCACTCTTCTCCTCGTACGCCAACCAACTTACAAACGAAGCAAGTCTGGAAGATAGTCTCTCATCCTTGCGTCCTGTTTGGGATGAGGAAGAAGTAAACACAGACCCTGAACCGCCAACACTGTTTCAGCTTTACAACATGTTGATTGCTCCCGTAAGAGACCTGCTAGAAGGATTTGAAATCATTGTTGTTCCTGATCGCTCCTTCTTCCAAGTTCCGTTTGCAGCGCTACAAGATGAATGTAACCGCTATTTATCAGATTCTTTCAGGATACGCATTGTCCCTTCTTTGACTACTCTCAAGCTCATTCTGAACAGTCCAGCGGGCTCTCACAGCGAAACTGGTGCATTGATTGTGGGTGAGCCAAGTGTGACGGATGTGTATTTCAAGGGAAAGTTAAGGTATCTCTGTAAATTGCCTGGCGCGAAAGCGGAAGCAGAGATGATTGCAAGACTACTACCTGAATCTCACCTTTTGATAAGAGAGCAAGCAACAAAGCAGGCGGTTCTCCAGAGACTACCTTCAGTGAGTCTCGTGCATTTCGCTGCTCATGATGATGCCGAAAGAGGAGAAATTGCTCTTACCCCCCCTGACTCCGCAATGCTTCCTCCACATGAAGCAGACTACTTACTGACAATGACCGACATCTCACAAGTTAGACTGTCAGCCAAACTGGTGGTCCTTAGCTGTTGCCATACCGCAAGTGGACAGATCAAAACAGAAGGCGTTGTTGGAATCGCTCGAGCATTCTTAGGATCGGGTGCACGCTCAGTGTTGGTGGCATTGTGGGCCTTACAAGACAGAGCAACAGAGCAGTTCATGAGAAGATTCTACGAAAACCTTGTCCAAGGAGAAAGTGCAAGTGAATGTCTTCACCGGGCCATGAAGTGGATGCGAAAGAACCGTTTCTCTGAAGTGAGGCAGTGGGCACCTTTCATGCTAATTGGGGATGACGTGTCATTCCACTTTGGTCAAGAAAAGTAAAGTGAAGGTTATTGCTTTCTAATAATAAGGGCCACAGGAAGTCTACCAGGTCTTTTTGTATTACGGTTTTATCAACTTTATATTATGTACTTTTAAGTGCTAAATAAAAAGCAGTATTTACCCGTAAAAGCCACATTATTGACTAGATCTGAAGTCAGCTTTTACAATGACCGAGGTAAAATATCAATCAACCGTTTCTTTAACATCGAAGATACTAAACAATACTGGACGGACGCTTCAGCTAGCGCTCCTCGTTATCGCATATGTGTACTTGTTGTTGGGCTATAGTTAAGATCATTTCTTTTTTTCTTAGTCTACTAATGTTACTTTTAGTTGTATTAAGTTGTATTTTTTTTCCCTATAAACATGACCCGCCTACCCGCAGGCATGTTATAATTGTACTTTTACCTCAAAACACAATAAAAAATGTATGTATACACGTAAACACCACAATTATTTGACCACACTTCGGTATTTATCAGTCAAAATCACAACCTATGCATATGTGAGGCTTTGCATTTAAAAACAAAAACACTAAAGCCCCGTATTCCTACAGTAACACAGAATGATTTTAAATCTTTTCTCTTTTTCTAAAATATGAAGCACAAATAATTGAATATTGTTTCGGAATAAAAATATTATGGCTGAGATCTAGATCGGAGAATTGATCGAAAACCCTGAAAACTACAAATTGTAGACTGTGCATGGAGTTTTGACCGTAACTAGAGGGCTTTTTGCGGATGCTGACTGAATTATAGCAGTACACTGGTTCTAAACTTGGACCAAAGAGGAAAGACTTAGATTCGAAAGGTCATCAAGGAAAGAAGTTTCAAACCTTTTTTAGCTGTGCACTCTACTTTTCCTTTATGATGCCAATAATTGGAAAGTTTTAGCGGTGATATAAACTTAAATAAGTAATTAAACCTCTTCCGTCTCAATAACGCCGGAGGATCCCTCTTCATGTAAAATGAACCTAAATGCCACTTACCTCAGTTGGAGTCTTTGGTAATGAATATATGTGTTTTACTAATTTTTATGTTTCCTATACATTACTGTTGCAGGTATTACACTAACGACACACCATGGAATAACAAAACAGCCCTTACGCAGAATTCCAGTGAGGTAGTTCCTGGTGGAAAATGTAAAGGTCAACCTCTTCAGCATACGAACATAACCCAGACTAGAAGAATTCAAAAGAGTACTGACTTGCTTGGCCCAGCTGTTCATGTTTGTCGGCTTAATTATTTTTCCCGCTGATTTTAATCTGGGTGTGTGTGTGTGGGTGTGTGTGTGTGAGTGTAGGTACCTTGAATACTCTAATCTCTAAAATGTCTTGCAAAAGTACCAATCACCAGCCTTGTAAAAGTGTACATCGGTTAGCTCGGACAATGATACAACTGTAATTGCGACACGAATAATATTTTCCTCTCTATTTAGGTTATTTGTTAACTTACTTTCTTAATAAGTCCCTAGGGCTACAACTAAAAAATACTTTTCACGTAAACGAGATTCTTAATGCAAATTGAAGTGCAAATGCAAACAACACTGCAAGGTTTATAGTTTAGTAGAATTGTATATATTTTAGAGTCAATCTTTCCGTGAACATAGAAGTAGTAATTTTGCAACCTTGTCCGAACTCCAAACTGGCCATCACAGTTGTAAACTAAAGGTTATTTCATTGTATAATATTGATGCCCGAGAATAGGTTATATGTCGGTATAGTACTTGCTTTAAGTATCCACCTAAAAAGCAAAGATTTGGTGGTCCAGTTTTCAGTAGTGCTTTGAGTAGGAACAGCATGTCGCGGATCCCAGAAGGTCGCACATGGAGGTTTCATTGTAATCTGTATATACATGTACGTGATCTATATAAAATGCCAGGATTTGGTGGTCTAGCCTTTTCTTTGAGTAGGAAAACTAATTTTATCAGTTTGACCAGCATGTCGCGTATCCGAGAAGGTCGCACATGGAGGTTTCATTGTGTTCTGTATATGTGTAATCTATATAAAATGCCAAGACTTGGTGGTCCAGTTTTCAGTAGTGCTTTGAGTAGAAAAACTAATTTTAGCAGTTTGAACAGCATGTCGCGTGTCCGAGAAGGTCGCACATGGAGGTTTCATTGTAATTTGTATATATGTACTCTCACTAGGCTTTTAAGAATAAAGTATATTTGAGATAATAGATTCAACGACGAACACTTTGTTTATCCTTTCGTTGTTAAGGGTCCTCATGTTTTTCCTTAATTATCTACTTGCTCTTTAACAAAAAATAATTATTCTAAATCAAAGAGATTTATAATCACATTCACGGTCAGGAGCCGATTAAATAGACCATTTTACAGTTGTGGATTGAAGCGAGGCTGAGGGTGACCTACAAGGATAAAGCTTTCACCTGATGTACAATATGACACGTAAATTTATATACTAGGATTTTTATAGGCCTTTAAAGTTGGCCTTTATTTCACCTCAACCCAAAAGATTGAAAGTGGGTTATTTCAACGAGTTTTTATGTTGTCTTAGACGTAACAAAATTACATGAAGTTTACATTTTTTAAAAGACAAAGGGTCCTTTTTCCAATATCCAAAATAGCAAACTGGGAATTCAACGCGTTGTCGCGTACAGAGTTAGCGAAGTTGTAGAATTTGTCATTGTTTTTCCGGGGGGTTGGGGGCCGCCTCGGCGTAATTTGAACTTTTGGATTTTTCTGAAAAGGCAAAGCGCGATGGAACTTTTTATTTCCATTTTTGAAAATAGTTCACCAAAAGGGTCTTTTAGTAGAATAAAATAAATTATGAAATTTTGCAACTGTCGGCGGATTCTCGATATTTACAGTCAGGGCCTCTTAAGAACTCGTATAAACTTGTCCGTGCTTTCCGGGTCGAATTGGAATTTAAGCGTTGGTTTTTGGAGAGAGAGGAAAACCGGAGCACCCAGAGAAAAACCTCTCGGCAAGGCAGAGAAACAACAACAAACCTACCCTTTCATATACCTGAAGCATGAAAAAGGTCGAAGCCTCCCCATAAAGGCCATTATAGGGAGTACCCCCCCCCCCCGGGAGAAGGAGGGGAAGTGCCCTTATTACTGCTCCACTCTTGCTCAGTTTTCGTCAGACGCCGATTTACTTGTTGTATTTGTTCTCCTTGTTGTATCTACTCAAAAATGTAAGTAGTTTCATGTCGATCAGTTTACTAATAAACCGTAACAATTATTTTAAAAGTTTGTACCTGTTTATTTCCTGATTCAATTAAATTTTACCTTGGTTCTTACTAATGTTTGCCGTTTGCCGTAACCGCGACTCTAAAAATCTCTCGACTTTCCTCTCAACGACTACTACAATCCATTAAGTTGGTCTCATAAAAGCCATGCACGATCACTCCCGTTGATTCAGAATCGTTACGGTTGTACGTTGACGGCAAAGTCGAAAGGTTAGGTTCAAGTATGACAATTACTCAAGTTAGGATTTATCAACAGATAAAAAGTGAGAAAATTATCCTTACGGATAAACCTGGCATGAATGTCTTTATTGAAAAATCCCGAGCTGATCCTTTTTTCAACTACCTTTTGTGCTTGGCACATATACCACAAAATAAATTCAAGACTTTTTCCAGACCTTTTTCCTAGACAATAATTTCTTTTTCCAGACTCAAGGTTATCAGATAGGTCAGTGGTCAATAGAGACCTTAAAAACGCAGGAACAAAGCTTTTTTCATGATAGGCTGAAAAAAAAAAAAGGGCGAAATTGAATACGATTTGGATAAGGCACTAGTTGTTGTAGCTTTGAAACAAAACTCAAGGCTTTTTACTATTTTTCCAGACTTTATCTCCACTTTCCAGATTTTTTTGAGGTCTGGAAAATTGCTGAGAAAATTTCAAGACTTTTTTAAAAGAATTTTAATAAGACCCTGTACGAACCCTGAGTTTTGTGCAAGATATTTCAATCCATGAGGTTTACACGTGCACATCCTAGTAGTGAAAGCTACTTCGGGTCCCACCGGGGATGGATTTTTGTTTTTGTTACTATCCAGATCTGGGTAGTGTATAGTACTTCGACTGGTTGAAGCAAATTTTTAACCAATCAGAAGTACTACTCAGATCTTGGTAGTGACGAGTTATCAGTATGGAATTTCGGCGCTCGTTCTCTGACGTCATTTCCCGGGAGCGGGAAACCTGCAGTGGTAACGTCGCGAAATGTCAGTTGTTTTCTCAGGCTAAACTGGTCACCCACCAGTGTAAATGCCACACGTAAAGCGCGTATCAACGATGCTAAAGTAAGGTGACTATTGATTACAGTGTGAACACACCTTTTAACCAGGTGGGAACGAGGGCAAGTCCCATTTTAAACTTCATTAGGGTTAGCTTTTTGCCAGGGTATTTACCCTGAAAACTAATTTAACACTGGCTTACAAGAGCTGTAGCACGAAATTTATAATTCAATCAATCAATCACTCAATCAACAATTTTTTAAAAAAATTTAAGTCAGGTGTAACTCGTGAGTGAAAAGTATGCAATTTAATTGGGTTAGCTTTGGGCCGTATTTAGATTTTACTTCTTTTAATTTTTAGTGTCAATTTTAGTATGCAGTTTAATTAGGTTGGTTTTGGGCCGCATTTAAATTTTACTTCTTAATTTTTAGTATGTTTAATATTGGAGAATATTCTTTGTAAGTACCTAGTGGGAAAGATTTGGGCGTAATATTGGACAACAACCTAACTTACGATGATCACATTACTAAGAACGTTTCATTACGCTTTTCTCGACTAGCTCAAATAAATCGTGTTAAACATGCGTTTAATAAGAACATTTTAATTAACATAATTTCTACATTAGTATTTAGTAAACTATTATATTGTTCGAACGTGTGGGCATATACTTCTATAGGAAAATTTATTACCTGACAAGGGAATTCCACGTTTACAAATTGCACGCGAAAACCGTCGCACGAATCGCGAAGCGATGCGGAGTGCGATATCGGTTTTCAATCGCAATTTAACGTGGAATTCACGAGTCAGGTAATGGATTTTCCTATAAAATCGATATCACTATGACAACAATAAACAAAAAAAACTTTGAAATCGATAAAATCCAATCATTGTGCGATCTAGACCTACTACTGAAAATCCGATTCCGGCTACTTATAGTATGGTGTTTAGCAATTCAAATAAAACGTAAATATGTTTCACATTTTCAATAGCCGTGATAAATTGTTTAATAAAAAAGTTATAAATAACTCAAATTAATATTACGTAGCGTTAGGAGGCTGCTTAACCTCATATTTCGATGCCGGGAAAATTTGGTGTATTTTCTTTCATGCGATCCTGAAAACTAATTTGTTTTCTCACCACCTGTCTAAGTGCAACTCTACTCTAAATTTTGACCTTTAGCGCTTTTCTGAATATCTCTAAAATGGCTCAACAGAATTCTTTTTAAACCTCGTCACATAATCTTTATGATGTATATAATTATGTCTGAAACTTTCATTAAGATTGATTTACTGTAACACCTTGAAATTTTAAGACGAACCTAGCCTACGAACCTGCCAGTGTCCCTAGGACACTGAACATGCTAGGGCTGTGGAGCAAAGCAAAAGCTTAGTATTGCACAAGCACGTCTCTGACTGTAAGGAGGGAGCAGGTACAGGAGAGTAAATATCCCTCCTCCCTACAGTTTTTCAGCCAGTTTCTCCCTCCTCCCTAAACTTGGTTTAACAATTGGCGGCGGGCAAAACACGACTCCTACAATTAGTCGTAAAGGAAGTTATCTGACCTTCAGAGCTTCTTCTCTACACCAACATACAGCACGAAGATTGCGTAACCACCGTAAGATTTTTATGGAGAAAAAGCCCCTATACCTACCAAGTATTTAATAGAAATACTCTATCTTTTATTAACAGAAAACTCGTTTCAATTCTACAGTAGCAACTACCTACAGACCCATGGAACAGTCATGGGAACAAAGATAGTCGTTGCTTTTGCAAACACATTACAAACCAACAGAAACTTTCAGTACACGAACATCTACTCGTGTCACCCAGAAGCGCTCAGGCTTCTAAGGACCTATTCCTCTTAAACCACGTTTGATAAAAATATCCAAAAATTTCGAATGATTGCCTGTTAGAAAGAGGTGACCTTGCGCTACTGTGAGAAAGTACCTCTCTGAGGTAAAATTCGCCGACAGGAAAACGGCCCGTCAACAGAGAAATCGCCACCCGTAAAAAAACTACTACCTTTAATTTTGTTACACAATACCACCCTGCTTAACCTAGTCTAACGAAAATACTAATGGGGAAACTGCACCGTATAAAAAAACAACAACGGCTAATAGAAATCTTTAAGGAGCGCCTTTACGACCAAGTGCATGAGTCGTGTGTTGCCCGTCGCCAATGTTTAAACCTGGTAACCTGAGATGTGTCAAGTTTGATTCCATGCTTTCTCGTACAAGTCCAACCAAAGGAGTCGCAGGAGACCCAAGGGGATCGCAGTGTAGGTCAAATTCCCCATCCCCTGTCATCACACAAGTTAAAAAAACCCATAAATTACCTTCTCATTGACATCTCCCTACTTCCACAACATTTCATTTTCTCCCTCCTCGCTACATTTTCGCCCCGATTTCTCCCTCCTCCCTATTCTGTACCTTTCCCCTCTGTCAGTCTAATAGGAGTAGCAACTTGTCTTTTGGGTGAAGGTGAAGTGAACCGTTTGGGCGATTAATGCATTAGTGTAATCATAGAATTTATATATCTACAGACAACTATGAGTTACTTTTTGTTTGGTCTTTCTGTCTCACTTCTCGTTTGTCCGATCTTGCCAATGTACCTCTAGCCATTCAAATATTAGCGTATGTCCTTCTCTAGCTAAGGTCTCTCTGTTTCATTCAATACAACTTGGTACGGACCAAAAAGGAATCATTAAATCAAAAGGAACGGTATGGCACGCACTATTGTAGATATCTTCAAGAAATTTTTGTTTCTACAGTTTCGTGAAATGACACAAGTACATGCATCAACTGTATACGCAAAAATTGTAAAGGACTGGAACCAGCAACCAATAAGAAAATCAGATTACAATAACAACACGGCAAAACTTTATTGATAAGCAGGTAATATGACAAGTTTTATCGCAATAAGTTTTTCATAAAATAAAACCAGAAAGACTTCGTACACTACTTAAGTAATTTCTTTCATAATAAATATTTTTTCTACCAATATTTCTATTTTTTTCATTATCGCTATTACTCTATTACATACTTTTATCATGGTCACCATTTTTGAGAGTTAGCACAAGTATTTCCACACACTTGCTCGGCTCCTCTCTGTTTTTCGAGTCATTATTAGCCAACCAACAGACATTTTCAAACCTCTTGAAGAGACTAGTTTAAACAAACACTATTTTTCTCAACTCACAAGTCCTTCAATACCTTTCTCATACAGGAATATAATTGCCCCAAGATTACCAACGAAACGTTAATGAAGTGTATTACGCACAGTGCATTCCATCGTAAACTAGTCAAACTTTTGAAAACTCTTTGTCATTTGCCATTGGATGTCTCTTCAACACTTTTTGTCCACTTCAAAAAGCCCAAGTATAATTATATTGCTGTTAGAATTGCAAACTTACTATTAAGCCTAACAGGCCATTCCCGAGTACCAAAAACTCTCACTTTCAAAGTGAGGCTAAGTACAAAACCTTTCTTAAGAAAATGATTTTTATCAATGGCTTCACTTACCCTCGCTTTCAAACAGGGGGCAACTTGGAAATGGCATATTTTGGATTTGTACGCTTGCAAATTTACATAACAATAAATCATTGGTAACATTACCCATGCAGATTAAAAACCCTAAAAAGATGGTGAGTGCGCGCAAGAGCTTTGTTTACCCAATAAGGTTTGGTAATGAAATGGAGAAAATAGAGAAACAAACCTGTATCAAGTGTTCACCTGAGTGAAGGAAATGGCATATTGGCTTATCAAGTGTTCAAATGAGTGAAGGCTGCAGTCAAGGTTCTCAAAACTGGCCACTAAATACAGGTTTAACGGGCTTAAAAGTAACCCAAGAAAAGATGATGGTAGGGAAAAGTGTCCACTTCAAGACGAACCCTCCCCACCCCTCAAAAAGTGTTTTCTACCTTTCCTTGTGTCTAAGAAAAAGAACTTACAGACCATTCAACTCTATACACATAAACAAGAAGCAGGAAGAAATAAAAATAAGTTGATGGGAACAAGTAAAAGATGACCAGACTGCTAACGGTAGCTCAATGTTGTGGTAAAATACTTGGGCCTACCTAAGGGGTTGATTCCCAGGACTTTGCCAAGTGACTGTTTAACCCATTCATCCGATCCCCGTTTGACTCTAGCCAAGCCATTTTTTAGTCTTGCTGAATAGAACCAAAAATGGCTGAAACATTGTTTATAAAGTCCAGAACTGCACTGCTCTATGTTACTGATGCTTATAACAGCTTTCAAAGTTTGAGATTGGGTTCAAAGTTGATACTGCCCTTTAAGTTTTTGTTTTTCTTCTCCCATTTTTTTCTTTTGCTTGGGATTTACAGAACATCCATATGGTGGGAAAAGTTTCCACAAAAACCCCTTGGAAGTGAATTTTTTAACAAGGAAGTTCAGGTAAGTAGTGTAAAAAGATTATCAACCAAATATCAGTCAACTTGACACGTTTTTATTCTCTGGCCTGTTTGACTGAAACATGCTGATTTTGGTACAGCTTGATAACTCACTTTCCCCTGCACAAGTTAATGTTAAAATGATAAATACAGGGTGTATAATGTTACAGGGCAAAATTAAATTCAGGTTAAAATTTTTTGAAACCCAGTTTGATTCTCTGTTTCCTTTGTCTCCTAGTACTGTCCTAGTCTTTATTACACATGCATTAGGGCTAGCAGACAAAGGAAATTGAGAATCAACCTCCAGCTAAAGCTTGCAACTGCTGTCAACCAGCTCATTGCCCTTTAGACAGCAATTGCTTAAAATCAGCCATGATCTACCATGCCACAGTGACAACACAGGACAACAGGCCAGCTGAGACCTATGTAGGCCTTACTGAGAACTCTTTTAAGACTAAACACTCGAACCATAAGTCTTCTTTCAGTGACCAAAACAAGAGACTCAGTACAGAACATGGCGTAACACTTTAATTTTGAGGCTACCATTTTAAACAAAAAAGGAACAGTGCTGACTCGGGGTGTTTGACTAACTAGCATTAAGGCTATCTTTTTAAACAAAAAAGGAGCAGTGCTGACTTGGATTGTTGGAATAACTAGCATTCTTCCCAGACACAGACCTCAAGGTCACTGTAAAACCCTATTCCAAGGCTATAAAATATGGCTGCTTCTAATTCCTCACTGTGGGATGTTGAAATAAAATTCTTAAGCTTGCTTGCACTTTTAAAGAATTTGTGCACCTCTTTGAGCTGAAAGCTCTCTTTCCGGCCTATCTCATTGTTTATTAACACTTTCAGGAAAATGCAAATTGTTCTCTGATCAGTGTGCATAGGATTGAATTCCCAATTCAACTTACAAAAACAGTTTAGCACAGTGCAGCACAGTTAGAAGGGGCTATGATTTTACATTATGAAACATGGATCATGTCTCACAGGAGCAACCTTAATTGAACTACAGTCAAACCCGTTAATACGGACACTGAGGGGACCATAGAACGTGTCCGAGAAAATGTAAGAGCTTTCTTTCCCCAGGAACAAAGCAAACTGTCCGTAATAATGAGGTGTCCGTATTAAGCGGGTGTCTGCAAAGCAGGACTTGATTGTAGGTTTACATCACTTAGGTATTAAGTGACTTTTGCTCCTCCGTGAATTGTGTTATGACAGTCCCTCTTCCTCGTCATGAATAATTTTCAAGTTATCATCATTTCTTGTCAAAACAAAAAGTCTAACAGCAGCAATTCCTGCAATAGCCAATAGTATTGAACAAAGAGCAAATATAGCAGATATTCCATGACTGCTATGTGTGTCATGGAGCAACATCAAAACAACTGCGGCAATTGCATTCAGTGGAACTCTGAACCAGTTTATAATACCTGCATGGTGAGCTTCGGGAAGTATTCTTTGCCGCAGCCAACCCATTGCTGGGAAGTAGACCCCACAAGCCAGCTCCAAGATAACAAACATCAAAAACGATGTCCGTGGATGATTGGCACTAGCAAACGCTGCTCCAATGTTGGCCAATGATGCAACAATCACAGTTAAAATGACTACACTAGATGGTCGAATTCCATGTTTAATTGTAAAGTTGAACAAAAAACTGCCCAGTGTCACACATAACATAAAACAGGAGAAGACAATTCCCAAAGGAGGGTAATGATGGGCTCTGTCCAGCACTGGTGTCCACAAAAATACAAAAATGTACATGGCACTTTCAAATAGAGAGGTAACAGTTCCAATCAACATGACTCTGTTGTTGGTTACAATGTAGCGAAGGCTCTCCATACAGGGCTGAATAACTTTGAGTTGTTTCCCACCATAGTTTTCATCCCACGTGAGCTGAATTAAAATTCCAGCAGTTATAAGAAATGGTATCGCCAGAACAAAAGGCGCGACAGGACCAAATCTCATCCATTCAGCTATAGTATTTGCTAGAATCCCTGCCACTACAGAGATCACACTGTTGTAGAGTGTTGCTTTGGCAAATGTTGCCGCGACCCATTCATTTGGAAAGCTGTGGGTTTGGGTGTGTTCATATAAGTACCATGCATCAAAGGCTGTGAATAACAATGATGTAGAGATGCCACCTAAAACTCTCCCAAATATCAAAATGGCATAATTTCTTGACAGCTTAGTTATACAGCATAAAGAGTACAATAAGGTGAAGACTACGCAAGCCTTTTTACGCCCAAAGGCACTAGCAAAATAACCAGCAGATGTTCCAAACACAACACTTGAAGCAAAGCCACACACATATATGATGGCAATCTGTGTGTCAATGAAGCCGTAGTGGCTATATAGCTTGTACAAGTACGGTCCCTGAAGCCATTCTGCCATTAATGCTGGAAAGTAAACCTTAAAGTAACTGTTTTGGAAAGCTACAAAGTTGGGGTTAGCTATCGTCATTTCGTCAGCTTGTCCTGTCTTGCACTTGAAGTGAAACAGAGCACAGAGGCCTGAAAGAATGCCAAATGAGACGTATGCAATCACAAGCATATTTTTATTGGATTCCCCCTACTATGAAGCCCAAAATAAGCCTTTGAAAGAAAGATTCCTAAAAATAGAATGAAAACAACAAATAAATTGATGTATTCTTAGACAATTAAAATGATTAAATAAATAAAAAATAGTGATTTACATCAGTGTAGCCCATCCAAAAAATGTTTTTTGTTGACCATTCCAGTTGGATTCAATAACTAGAATCTAACTGAAATTACTTTGGTGATATTGTTTTTGAGATAAAGGGAGAACTGGAGTATCTGGAGAAAAATGTCTTGGAGAAAGGGTTACCCTGTGAGAAAGCTCTCAATTTCAAATTGCGAGCTCAGTAAGAAAATGTGTTAGTGAATTGCGGAGCTGCAAGGGGTGGGGGAAAAGGATAACTCTTCCTTCCATTCTCCCCCCACTCCTCTCTCTGTTTTCATGTGCTGCCTGTGTATTACTTCTCACTATATCCTCCAAATGGAGAGGTGGCTCGCAGGCTCACGTTCCCGTTCTTGGTTGTTGTTTGAGTACGGTAACAAAAGTCAAATTTCTCCCAACATAAGAAACATCACATTCAGTTTGGGAACCGGAAAGACAGTTTTGTTTGTTTCGACTTTCTTACCACCTACCCGTACTTCAGGGGAAATACACTAGCCAAGTCAGTCAGTAGTGGGATGCTTCACTAGTCTCACGTTACTGGACAGCCCTTACGGCAGTAACACAGGGTCTGGAAGGGGGGTTCTGGATAACGAATTACAGGTTAAATTTTTGTACATTCACGAGTCACGTAACCTTTTAGCAACATTTCACGAATCACACGATTGGGTAATGAACCAATCAAGTCCATCAATGATTCTTAGTGGTTGACAGACTACTATGGGCAAGAGTTCATCTTAAATGACCCGTGATCGGAAGGTAACAAAAAGTATGGTGATTAAACTGGTGATTCTTTGCTCCATTTTTTTTTGACGGCTACAAAGATGACTGGCAATGAAAGTTTTGTTATAAAATCAAAGCTCTACAACTTTGCTCTTTTATTTGGTTTACCTAACCTTCATGGTAAATGGTTTGTCTAGGGTCATGTAAAAACTTGTCATTACCTTTGAGTTAATATAGATGTTACAATATTTCACATAAATTTCAACTACATCTCAAATGAGAAATAACCGTATTTATTAATGACTGGACATCAGCTTAATACGATGAAAGGGCTCTATGTGACAAAGTGACAGCCCTTCCTGATCTAGTGAGGATTGTTTTTGCCAATAAGAAGTTCAAGGTAGTGACTGGCATCTCAAAGTGTTCCGCAAGAACTCTGATACTTGCCATTGCAACAGAGATTAAAATTTGCTGGCTGCAACCAGGATGTGAACATGTGCTACCAAATGAGCTTTTATCAAAGTTTGCAAAAAGCAACCTCTCATTGGCAGAGCCCTTGACAGATAATAACACGTCACAGTTCATCTTCTTAATTCATGTCAGTTACCAAGCGAGTCAGAGAGGTCACAGGAGCAGAGTTCAGAAGTTATTTGTGACCGTGATTGTAGTTAAATTTTACAGTTGATACCGCAAATTGCTTTTGTGTTACTGCAGGGTCCTGTAGAATTGAGTAAAACGTCATGCGATTTTGTTAACAAACATGGTAAACTATAAATTCCTATGCTCCTGAAAACCGCTGAAAGAAATGTTGGCAGACGAGTAATTTGTGCCTCGCTTGGAAAAGCTCTCCAAATGTGTCGTGGGTGATGTTCATTCTCACAGGGCATTACATAATATTTTACCAAGGTTGTAATACGATCACATGAACAAGGGCAAGAACCAACAACAAACTCATGCCATTGTTTTCAGTTTAAAGAGGGTTGTATTCTTTGTAGTGTAAGTCAAACCCTTGGCCTTTCTGTCAAAACAAACAAAGCTGAAAGAATGGTGGATGGGCATGGTGGACGTCACAGTTCATCTTCTTAATTCATGTCAGTTACCAAGCGAGTCAGAGAGGTCACAGGAGCAGAGTTCAGAAGTTATTTGTGACCGTGATTGTAGTTAAATTTTACAGTTGATACCGCGAATTGCTTTTGTGTTACTGCAGGGTCCTGTAGAATTGAGTAAAAGGTCATGCGATTTTGTTAACAAACATGATAAACTATAAATTCCTATGCTCCTGAAAACCGCTGAAAGAAATGTTGGCAGACGAGTACTTTGTGCCTCGCTTGGAAAAGCTCTCCAAATGTGTCGTGGGTGATGTTCATTCTCACAGGGCATTACATAATATTTTACCAAGGTTGTAATACGATCACATGATGGTTTGATCAGCCAAGTTCAACTGTGCAGTAAACAGTAAACGAAGGCCATTCACTGTATCACCTGTAAAATTTTACTACAATCAAGGTCACAAATAACTCCTCTGTGCCCTGTGAGATGTCAAGTACCGAACATACCAATGGACTCAGTTACGTTAATAACAATGACAAAAGACCCAGTACTTAATTTTAAACTATTGTGACAGACAATTTATGTATACTAGTGTGGGGGGTTACCTGATTTTCACGACTTTACATCTCTTTTCTCAGTAGAAATCTTGATTCACGGACAAAAATTTTAGAGGATCATGCATCACAGTGAGTCTATAATTCATGAATAACAACTGAATTTCATGAGTTTTCCTGATTCACACTCTGTTTACCGGTCAATTCACAGATCATGCGAAACCCTTCCAGACCCTGGTAACAGTGATGCATTTATCTGGACTAACTGAAATTGAATTTCCATTCAATTCAAATACAGTCAACCTTCCCATAAGCAACCACTCAAAATGTGAGGATTTAGTGGTTGCATGCTTTCAAAGCCCTAAGAATAATCAGTATCAAATTCCTCCTTCTCATAACAACACTTAATAAAACAGAATAAAAAAAAAAAATGGAAGATGGCAGGTGTCAAACCCAGTCCCTTCAGCTCTGAAGGTTACACTTAGCTTACTGCACAAATGAGAACAATAGAAATGACCTTACATTCAATCATTCATTCATTCATTCTTGCGCAGATGATAGCATAGAGCATCACCGGCTAAAAGCCAGTTGGCTGAAAAATAATAGAAAACTATCAAACCGAAAGGCCAAGAAGAGTCACAGTGGGTTATGAGAGGAAGTTCCAATTATAGAGCTTTTGATGGAGAAAATTCTGTTGCTTTGGGTTGGTTGTCGTGAAAAGGAGGAAGTCGCTTACTGGAGGTGGTCGCACATAGAGGTTTGACTGTGGTCTAAATTGTGCAGCCTTTGCCCTATTGAACCTTGATATACATCAAATACTACTAAGCTGTACTATTTTATTAAGCTGAACTTGATTAGGGCTTAAGCTTATTTCTGTACAATATGCTTACAATAAAAAATTATTTAATTTGGTTTTAAATTTTCAGGAAGATATTAAGACACCTGAGTTGATAACAAATAAACAGACCTTCCTCTACAACCGACAGTAAAACAGCTTTAACGATAGGCTGACAACGATTTTTCGAACGATCGAGCCATATATTAAACAATTGCCACGTATACTCATTACTAGTGGTCACAAATGATCACAGTTTCAAGCTGCCAAATCATATTTATTGGCTTACCTTCTTAAAATCTCGCACAGAAAGGAAACAGGTCGTTGTCTTAGTCACTCTGTCTTACCATTAAAAGGAGCAAAAATCACAGATAATGCCACGTTCAGAACCACACGTTTCAAAATCTGTTTCAAAATTGTTTTGGCGCAAACCTGTGCGCCTGCAGTACCTTGTCTTTCTCGTAAAATTGACGAAGACTTCCGAACTTCCCCGAGAAAATTCGATTAGAACTGTTTCCGGTAGCCTCATTTTCCTGGGCTCGAAATTCACTTCCGGTTGTGGCGAAGTAAACAGCTGCATGCCTCGTGACGAAACAAATCAAACGAGTCGACGCGACCAAAGTGAAAGGCAAAATGGCGCGCAATTTTATTTTGGAAATGTAAACATTGTTCTTTTGCAATGGCAGTATTTTTAGACGAAATTTTGCTTCATATTTTTGAATATCTCGATGCAGCGTCTCTGACAAGGCTTTCCTCGGTCTGTAAACAGTGGAGAAACATCGCCAATACTCCTTCGCTGTGGCGAAGGCTCGTTTTGTTGCGATGGCCTTCCCAGAAGTTTTTATACGAAAAGGCGTCTTTATCTCACATCAACTGGATGAATACATACCAGGATTTGACTCTCAGGGGACATTTCTCGCCCGATGAAATGAAATACTTTATTTGTTGTCGCGTGAGCGATGAGTTGACCGAAATTGAGTTACGTGAAAATATGTTTTTGCACATGGCAGAAACGATGATGAAGTGGTCCGTACCGGATATATTCGACCAAGAAGACGAATTTAACACGCCAGGATTTAACAAGAACTTTGAATTGTTTTTTGACACACATGATTTAAAGTGGACTTTCATCGACAAGAGAAGAGAATACATTGATGACTTGTTCAGTTGTAAGATGAAGACAACAACTCCTGCGAGATTCATTCGACCTTACCAAGTTATCCCTAGCTGCTTAGTGATGTTCCGATGGCTTTGTCTCTTCCGTGCCTACGTGACTGAAGAAACTGGCTTGACTTATTACCGTATATGGCGGTATCGTCTCAAGCATAGAGCTACAGGGATACATTTTGAAGTGTACGATTGGAAGGCCGCCATGTCGTGCACCCTTTCCAAAGGGAGTCCAACATCAGTAGCTTTTAGAGAAGATGCATTGGAACTTTTGACCATTCTTACCCACCCTAACTTTCTTATGCACCCCATGGGTGTTAGCGTTGCTAAGGAGATGCACATCCCCATTCCGAAACTTCTTGGAAGTAGATGCAACTCTGCTGCATCTTCACTCTCTAGCTGCGGTTTGACAAGCCCAAGGTCACCATTAAGAAATATTGGTAATTTTTCATTTGACAAGAGAGATGTCAAGGGCATACACAAAATTGCCAGCAGCACCACTGACAGTGATGAGGAATCAGATGGTGGGTTTGACACTGGGTACGTGGCAAACTGTGAAGATTTTATCAGCAGTAAGCATTGGGATGTTGAGGAGCAAAATAAAATCCAAGCTGAGGTAGCTGGCATGTGGACAGTGGTAAACAATAATGATGCCCCGCATCTCTTTGTTACTTTTGATGAAAACAACAGTTCATGGATTTTCCATGACTGTATACCCGACTTCTCTGATTTGTGGCGGCAAGGGGTTGCAGCATTTGGTGGGAACCATGACACCCTTAGAGACCATGGCTTTGGCATAGAACCCATTCCAAGTTGCCTGGCCTTATATCGTCTGGTGTGCCTTATGAACATTAATGCACGTGTTTATGCCAGTATGGAGGATTCATCAATTTGGGCTTTACACTTGATCCACAACACTACTAGAGCAGTGTTGCATCTCAAGGATTTAAATGGTAAGCAAAATTTAGAAAGATTTCATGTTAGACGTTTCATCTTTTTCAAACACTTCAAAATTATGTTAAGTGCAATTTGTGCACTAATGAGACATTATAAAAAATGCAAATATAAGCCCCTAATTTCCTGTAGTACAACATCTCATCATAAAATGTTGTTCACTCATGCATTGTATTAATATTACAGTTCTAGAATGAACAACTCACGCTCAAAATTTTGTAGCTGAAAATTCTCTTTATTGATGATGTTCAAAGATGACTTTTAGGAAAAGTATATTTGTAAAGATTTTCTTAGACATAGTGTTATTTTGCAAGGTGGAAATTCCTAATGCTTTTGATTGCATGAGAATCTTTGTGTGCATTTAAGCTTGAAGTTTGATCTTTTGAAAATCATTTGATCCTTTGAACCTTAAGTATTCAAGTGATTAGCTTAGCTCAGTTAACACATTGGGCTCAACCCTAAGGGAATAATTTTCAGGTGTAATCTTTCTTTGCTCGAAAGTCATAGGAATTTGTGAGATGGGTTCTAAATAAACAGTGAAATAATTGGAAACTAACCCAAATCACTGTATGATGGGTGTTTCAAAAGGAATGTTCCAAAAAACAACTGTAGATTTGATGTGTTAAATTAGCTTGTTAATTACCTTTTCAGTTTATGTGGTTAAGATTCCACAAGATAAGAGCCTTGGCCCCTTTTTTCACCGCCTGTATAAACACTGAATGGATAAACTCATGGTCTAAGGTTTTGGTATACATTTATATAAACCTTTGGCATTTTAGCAAAGATGATAACAGGTTTATATGTGGTGACACCAAAGGTAATTCTTAAATCTGCACTATTATGTTGATGGTATTAAAAGGTCTAGATCTGATGATCGCTTGACACAAAGATAACAGGGTCTATTTCTTAGTTTGATACATAATTAACAGCTTTTCAGATACTAAGAAAATGTTGGGAAAGGAAATGGCCTTTGGGCAAAAATGTGTTCTGCTTTGTTCCCTCTGGTGTTGACACCTGGTTCCAAAATAGAAAACAAAGTCTTTTATTTGGAATCAGAAGAATGCAATGCAATATTAATTAGGAAAAATGCATAAGGGCTGTAAATTTTTTTGGCTCCCTGCCTTCCAAAAACAGGAAATACAATGATAGAAGCCTTTGTTAAATTAAGATGAGAAGCCATGTGTTCTTTTGTCTCCAGTAATATAGTTGTAACCTTAACAAAGTGAATGTTTGTATCTATTGTTGGTAATAGCCTACGTCATGCTGTTGGGAGTTTTAGTTTACAGTTTTTTCAGTACCATCAAATTCTTAGCAGTGTTTTCTAAAAAGTAAATCCTTTTTACATTACTTGAACAAATACTTTATGGAGATGACACCGGGTACACATCGTCTAGGACAACAGAACATACACTAGAAACAATAACGAAAATCGGCAAACAAATGTATTAGTCAATTCGTGGACTTGGGGAATTTTTCCGTGAGTCTGGCTGTAAATCTTAAATCTATGCTTATTTCACTAGCAAGGCATTGCAAGTGAATTTTTTTATACAAACAAAAGTAAGTAAACCTGCTGGCAATAAGTATTTTGCAGCTGTCTTTGAGGTTGGGGACTTGTTGAAAAACGGGTTGAACTGTAAACTGCTGCCTATAAGCCCTGGGCTTATACATCTTCATAAGGGGTTTCAGCAGGGCTTATAAATAAAGGGGCTTTTATTAGATTGTTCTTATAACTGGAATAGAGAAAGCGCTTTAAAACAAGCTACAGTCATGCTGTTGTAAATATATTTTGCATTAACTGATTCTTAAATAAACTGCAAAACTTTATAATATATCTAATTCATCTTAAAACAAGCGGGGTGGGGGGGGGGTTATATTCGGAGCATTTTTTGTTTACGGGTAGATGGGTCGATAACAGGGAGGGGTTATTTTTCAGCAGTTTATGGTATTCAATCAAAATTCTTTTTTGGTCCACATTCTTGAGCACTATTTTATTTTGTCTTGCAAGTGGAAGTTGTTAACAATAATTATTCTTTGGAACCCTGTCTTGTCCAGTGAGAAAAATGTCTTTTCTTTTAGCTTTGTAATTTGCTGATGTTTATTTTACCCTGTAGATGGTTAAGATAAAAGCAAGATCTTGCTAGCATAAGTCTAAATATTCTTAACCTAGAGTATTTATATAGTTCATGCTGGAATTTTTTGAGCTTACCTTTTGGCCTGTTAAATTGGCATTAGAATATTAAGTCAACTAACTGACTTTAATTTATAAAAGGGTTTAAAAAACAAACCGAAGTCTGGTTAAACACTTTGTCAGTTATTTTTTTGTGTTGGTCAATATCAAAAGCCTTTGCTGCCCTCCTTTGGGTGTCATGCTAGACATTTGCGTCATTGGCGTCAATATATGTGTGGTGTAAATGACATTGCAAACTCAAGCTAGAAACTAGAAACACTTGAACACTGCAAGAGTTGTGTGATGTATTGTGTTACATTATAATTCGTTGTAAGGTATATGTAGTGTGATTTGACTTTATTGTATGAGCTTGCAATCCTTGTGGTTGCAGTTTGCTGCCATGTTTGTGTTAGTAAGAGATTTGGTGATTAAAGCCTATTATTCTCCAGGCAAACGTCTTCCCTTGTTCACAACAATGTGGACATAAACCTGTGTGTACAACTGAAAAATATCTGTAAAAAAATATTCTTTTTGTTTCCTGGAAGCATTTTTATCACTAAGTCGGGAAGACAGATAAATTTTTTGCTTATCGCTGTCTTTGCCCATCTAAAGGGTAGACATCTTGCTCTTTGCTTGTAACCTCCTTGGTGGTGTGACTTTTTACCCTTTTTTTTATCAACACTGTCAGCTAACTGTATCTGACCAACTAACTAACAACTAACTATTGCATTTTCCTTTGTGCTTATTTAATGAAAATGTCCTGTGGAAAGCTCAGGAAATGACATTTCCAAGCCCCTACAGTTAAAAATTTTTCTAGGGGAGCATGCCCAGACCCACCTGGTTTGGATCACTTCTGATGGTACAACTTTCCTTCTTATGTGTACACCATCAAAATCTCACCACACCCTATTTACATGCACATTTCATCCTCCCCTCCCCTTAAACAAAATTACTTCTCATTGGTGAAATCAGTCTAGTTTTTACAGTTGAGATGAAAAATAACAATTTTCATTGATTTTTATTGTACCAGGTTGGTTTGATGCTTCAGTGAGTCTGACGGAAGACATGCAAAACCAACTTCGAGAGGCTTCAGAAAAAGTTACAGATCAGCTAGAGACATTGCAGTGGTGTGATATTTCCACTTCATTTCCATCGGCTGATGACATTAGTGATTATGTTGCTAGTGATGAAGAGAGTGATGTCGAAGATGACAAAAAAGTTGACGATATCTGCTACTTACAGACTCCTACCCAGTCTGACAACAGCATTTCAAGTAATGAAGTTGATTTTGATGACATAGATGCTGATGAATTCTGGTTTTCACCCTTGACCCCACAGTTTATGGGTGCAGAGATTCCAGAGAGTGCATTGGCCGAAAACACAAACAGGTTCTGGAGATCACTAGGACCACCAGGTTTTCAAGAATTTCCCTGCCATTCTGATGTTGAAACTCTGGATGGTGCTTGGGGTAGGGCTCCACCCTCAGACCAAGAAAACTATGGCGACAGTCACTTTCTAGAGCCGTTTGAGGCTGCAGAGAAGTTCAGATCTGTCCACTCCTCTGATAGTAGCAGCAACCTTAACCGTCAAACCAGCAATCATTCAGACAGTGAAGGAAGTGATGTACAGGGTTCTGAGCCTTCTCAACCCAGCACTCTTAAGCAATTCAAGAATGATGTGATGGTACTGTTGAACTTACTAATGGATGAAAAGTTTGCCCATCCATATGGAACTATAGCTGGCTCAGTAGCATAAGTAAAAGCACAAAGACGTGCTATTTTGAAACATGGGTGGCTATTAGTCTGTAATAAAGGCCCTAAAATTGCAATTGTGCTGGTGATGATCAGCCGTAAATCCTCTACAAAGGAGGCCTTTCTTCTTATTAGCCTTTTGTGCAACGTTTATCTTCATTGAAGGACTCTACTATTAATAGCTTTTTGTAAGAGGCATCACAGGTCAAGCATACCCTCAAAGATTCCTTTAATTAATCAGTTGTTTGAAAAATTAAACCGCTAGTGATTGCCGCAACCAGTATTAAAAACAAATCTGCATTCCTACATGCATAATGAACAGTAAAATGTTGGCTCCAAGCTTTCCAGTATTTGGTCAGATTGAAAAATCTTTGAGTCATAAAATTACTCTGAAGATGTTTCTATCAAATAGAAAACTGAGCTAGGGCTGAAAAGACATAACTACCTCATGTGAATTCACTGCTCATTACGCATGGAGGAACGAAGAGTTGAATCTGAAAACTATAGAATTATAACTTATAATGGATTCAACTTGCAAACAATAACTTCATTCATGGAATCTTGGCAGTTATGTTTGACCTGGCTTGACTGAGTGAGGAATTAGTTTTCCCTGCATGTGAGGTAGTCATTCTTTTGTCCAGAACATGAACCAGAATACCGTTATTGCAGTCTTCATGGTTCAGTCTCATTGCGTTCATTACGGTGTAGTTTTAAATTACATAAACCCTCAAATTTCTGGGCTTTCCAACCCACTAAAACATACTCGTAGACGTAAGAATCTGTTGAAGGGTGGGGTAGCTGGACCTTAAAAGGGGATCTAGATGTGTTAGTAAATAGAATACATGTGCAATATAAGGCGTGTTTGTCATAAACTTAGACTTATTTTGCTACAAGTCGGCCTCTTGGCGAACGGAGCAAGCCTTTTTAGGCCGCGAAGGACTCTTTTGAATGTCTATCATAAACTGCAAAGTTACGATTACGTTAAGTCATTGTTACAAGTTACAGAATCACAGAATAACAAAATAAAATTTATTGTAAGTATTATTAAATCCATAACACTCTTAAGAGTATACTCGCATAAAGAATTAACACAAATTGCGTGAAATATGTAGATTTGTCTTTACTGAAATGCTTAAATTGCCTTTTTATTATCTGTCGTGCGTTTTTATTTGTAAAATAGTTGCATAAAATGCTCTGCATAAGCCGCAAAAGCGTTGACGTTCACTCGTATACACGTTTTCTTGAAATATCAATGTCTTGGACAAGCTTTATTATATCCCAACATGGATAAAATTAAAGTTGAAGTTTGATAAGCTATCTAAGTTGGTGTATTATTATCTTTGATTAAACATCATCCAACTAACCCGAAGAGCAAGCTGTCTGGGTTGTGGTAGGGGGAGCGGGCTGGTGTAGGGAGAGTTTTTTCCTAACCTTGCCTCCCGTCCCAGCCTACAACCAGCATTGATAGATGCAACGTGCTGGGAATTATTGAACGCTTTTTGATGGTGATGAATCAGGTGAGTTTAAACTTTCTGGTTCCAGACTGCCCGGGGAGGGGGTGGGGGGGGGGGGGGGCTACATAGGGAGGGGGGGGGGGGGGGCGGGGAAAGGTGGGTGCGGTCTTTTCCTTGGAGTGTTTGGGGGGGTGGGGGGGGGGGGGAGTAGGCTTGTGGTCGGTGGAGGTGGTGTGGGGTTTGGTTCGGGTGGCGGGGTGGGGGGGTGGGGCGGGGGGGGGGGTGGTGTGGCTGACCGTAGGAGGGGGGGGGTGATGCGGGTGGAGATGGGGGGACTCTTGTTTAGTGGAATGGTTTGGGGGGGGGGGGGGGGGGGAGGGTAAAAAAAATTACACGAAACTCCCATTAGGGGACCCTCGCTAGGGTGATACAAAATGAATTTTAAACAGTGACTGTTGGATGAGGTTTTTGTGATAGGTAGGAAGGAGGTGGTGGAGGGCAAGAACAAATTTCAGGTAAACCTCTTCTATGCGTTAGTCCTAGTGAAGGGAATCACGGAACCTTCAACTATGGTGACCCTAAATGGATTTTCAACAATGATTGTTGGATGAGGTATTTGTGAAATCCGCCGGAATAATAATATCTTTATAATCATCTTAAGTTTGTAATTTTTCTACCATATCTTGTCGTTTTATTACAAATTCTTTGGAAGCGACAAACACACCGGTTCACCGGTACTTTCGAGAAACGGGCGCCTACGCAGTACAACGCAAAGAAATTTAATAATACCGTAAAAGTCCTTTTTATTACTGAGGATTTCTTCGAGAAAACTAAGTTGTAAGAAGGTTGTAAAGTTAACATAGCTTGCACCAACTAAAAAAAAAAATATTTTTGCGTAAAAAACCGGGGTAAAACGTTTGTGTATGTTAATTACGTCAGTTCCTCCATGTATGTTTCGGTGGTGCATGAGCTGCGTGCGCAAGGGAGACCTCAGGAGACCTTGAAGGTAAAGGGTCCTTAAGAGACGTTTTCTGAGACGTAAGGAGAATTGACGAAAATCCCTTTTTTGGTATTCAAATTGCATGATGGCAAAATTGCTTGTCGCTAATTCTCGGCTTTGTTGTCACTGCAGTAATTTGGCGGGGCCGCCTTTTTGGGTCATGACCTTTGTCAAAATTTACCCCAAAATTTTAAGCAAAAGAAAGACAAAAAAATCGAGCGGCAAAAGGTAAAAAGAGATTGAGAAAGAAAAATCGCAATAGAATAGAAAAAAAGGTAAAGAAAGAAAGATATTCTAATAGACTGTGTATAAAACTGGAACGGGGACATTGCGACGCGTGTGTGGGAACTTTGGGACTTGGGAACGCGAGACGCGGGACTTGGGGACATCAAGTATGGGACGTGGGAACGTGTGGGACGGGGATGCGGGGACGTCAAATACAGGGACGCGGGGACGTCAAATACGGGGACGCAGGGATGTGAATTATTAATAATAATAATAATAATAATAATAATAATAATAATAATAATAAACTTTATTTTCGTGTCAGGATATTTAGCTTACAAGCTAATTGGGGACAACAAAACCAACACAGAAATCAAATGCTTAAGATTATGAAAATAGTGGTGAACTTAGATCTATAAAAATAATGTATCGTGATAAGAATGTGTTGCTATACATAAGAGTGTAAGCACTAAAAATAAATTAAGAGTGGCATAAATAGCAATTCTGACAGTTGGATTTATCAACCAGTTCCGCTATGTTTGTTTTTCTAATTCTAGATCTAAACGTAGTTAAAGATGAGATATTTCTAATTTCATTCGGAAGTTTAGACCATATTGCAAAAGTCGGAGGGAAATGCGTTATCAGTCACTTTCCTGGCGAATGTGTTTTGGTGAACGCAACCCACCCTTCCGTCCTTACGAAGAAAGTGAAACTGCTGTCCTGATCTTCTTGCTGATGGAATATAGGAGCCCTAAACAGGGTAGGGTGGGTTATGGTCGCCAAAATTTATATAGAATAACAGCGTTCGAGTCCAAATAAATAAAAAAAGGAAACTAAATTAAGTGGCATAAGCGAGCTTCGAACCTCGAAGTGCTAGCTCCGAAATCAATCGCCTCTAACACTGCACCACGGAGGATTCAACTATTGCAACAAAATTTTATCTTATTCCATATATATTTAGTGACAAACCTAACAGTAAATGCTTGCCAACAGTGCTTAACCCTAATCACGCTAGTCAGTGCGCTTACTCCTATATATAACAATTATTCACCGAAGTGGAGGTGGCTAGTCCTGGTATTTACCGAACTGCGAAGCAGTGAGGTAAATATCCACGACTAGCCACCGACACTGAGGTGAATAATTGTTTTAGTATATACTAAAACAGTGAGATCATTGAGCACAAAAATGATGATTTTTAACTCAAATACTGTTGCCAACGATTACAATTTTGACGCGTAATGACCGGGCGGCTGCGGCCGTCGCTTTATTCTTGCCGACAATTAAAACTTTTCAAGGCATTTGTTTAGCTCTTGCGGGGAAATTTCTTCAAAAGGAGTTGTGAATTCTTTCTGTATTTAAAATCATTCTATAAAAAAAGATTATTAAATTTAGTTTGAAGCTTATTTATGAACAACTCAACTAAATAAAGTAAGCAAGACTTAAACTTAATTTGCATTTGTAAACAAAAACTTTTTCACCAGTTTTATCGATAAATTAGTGTCAAAAAGACAAAGCTTTACCTGTTAAAACTTCCAATCCGAACTTCGTCACCTTCTTCGTGTATTTCGGAAACAGCTTGCTTGATTAGTTGTGAAATTTGTTTGTTTGTTTACGGCAGAAAACCGGGAAGGCATTTTGCTCGCAACTTACGCGAGTTTGGCGTTGCTCGCTCGGAGGAACTGGAGGTGAATCAGTGAATAGTGCAGGATATTCACTGATTGGGTAGCCAATCAGAGCGCTCGAAAAACACTATCCACTGTTTTAGTATATACTAATAGGAAATATTTTGTGTAAACATAATAAGGTGTCTAATGTGGTTCGGGAGGATGGAATCTAATGCTGTTCATAACTAACACATTTTCACGAAGAAAGAGATATCGCATTTACCTCCGACTTTTGCAGTGATCATTAACGTCCCCCGCGTCCCCGTCCCACTCGTCCCCACGTCCCATACTTAATGTCCCCAAGTCCCTCGTCTCGCGTCCCCCAGCTCCAAGTCCTCACACTCGCGTCCCAATTCGCCGCCCCCTTGTCCCCGTCCTAGTTTTATACTCAACCAAGGTAATAAGGGTTTAAAATGAAGATAAATTGGATTCTCTGCCCCTGCAGAGAGGAAAATTGCAGCATTTAAAAATATAAATATTATTATTTTGGTGTGGCCCAAACAGAGTAATCGAGTTCGCTTGTTTTGATTCAAATTTGCAATAGGCACGCAATACGTGCGAACGTGAACAAGATAAGCGACGCGAAGGTCTGCCGCGGGCTGTGTCACAACACAGCATTTTTCTTCGTTTCATACTACAGATAACGCACGGCAAACAAAACGGCAATAGAAAACAAACTTTTTGGAAGAAACAAGGAACAGTGACTGAAACAAACTATTAAATAATTCACATTTTGCCTTTGGAAAATAATCGTCCTCGCAGCACACGGTGTGAATGGTTTGAATTATTGCCAAGAGTTTGACAGTATTTTGGCTCTCAGTTGTTGAACGCCAACGAAGATGTCACGCAATATTCCATAATCTTGTGTGTGAGATAATTAAGGGTAACATTGAATGAAGCATAATTTCATTGCATATTTTCGGAAAGGAGGTGTTTTCTTAAAATCTTATTGAGCAAAATGACCTCGTAAACAAGTCATTCTTTCACGATAGAGCCATAAAAGGGGCAGAGTCCAACATCTTCACGTGTAAACCGCGTTGTATTTTTAAAACCCTTGGGTAATTAGATTAAGTCCACACGTATCCATATTCGTTTGAAAAAGCAACTTTTTTTTCTCCCGTGTTTCAAAAATGTTCGCGTCCACTCGTATCGTTTTCGCCCGTCCACACGTATCAATTGAAAACGATAACTTACCCGACTGCGCATGCTTGACGCATGTGTGTTCGCTATTAAAAGCCCAGGAAATAATAAATTGGCGCCATCTTTGAATTTATTTGGTGTGGGTTTATATTGTTGTGACGTTCTTCAAAGTCGCAGAAACAGCAACATTGCCCCGGACGAAGAATTCAAACGAGACATAGGCTGGATTAGAAAAGACGCAGAACGAAAAGTTTTAGGCGCACTCGTTAAGTTTCACGACCGTAGAGTCGAAAGAAGCAAATCTAAACTTGTAAAACCAGAACAGGAATCACGCAAAGAAAAGAGGAAAGACATGTCAGATAAGGTACCAGCTAATACTCTAGAATTCAGTCACGAACAGAAACTAGAGAATATCCAGAAGAAAATAGACGAACTCAACAAAATGAAGCATGTCTTACAAAATGCTAAAGAGAATAAACAAAGTGAATCTTATCCCAGAGTGTTTTCTGAGAATATAGATTATCAAAAAGGGAAAGAGGAAAGAAAAAGCGGTCATTGTCAACCAAAAAACGTAATGAACGGAGGCGAAAAATAGCGCGTGATTTAGATAAGAACATAACAGAAGCAAGAAAGCTAAGAAACATATCAAAAACCTCTCAGATTACAAAATGACACGCGA